ATAATAAATATATAATATATTCTATACTTGTCTATACTTTTTCCCGCTATCTGTATATATATATTATACATTATATTAACATACCACATACATACATACATATAATATAATATTATATATATATATATATATATATATATATACATATACTATATATAATTTACATATATAGGGACGGTTTTATACTATATATATATATATTTAACTATGATATAGTAGTATATAGAGAGTACATCGTATAATGAAATTATAGTCTATTATAATATATATATTATTATAATATAATATACATACTCAGTATATATATATAATATATAATATATACTCTAGGGTATATATGGTAACTACAATGTGTGTGTGTGATGTGTGTTGATGGCTGTGTGTGTGTGTGTGTGTATCATATATATCATGGAACATATATAATACAGTGATATATAATCTATATTATATATAGGTATATATATTAGTATATCATACATATCATTAGGAATAAATGCTAGTAGTAATATCTTCAAACTTCGCTTATATCATTTTATAAATGTTAAACCTATAATATAGGTACATAATATTATAGAATAGGAGTAAATTAGATGTAATAATATTATATACTGGTAGTGATAATATAGTATTAATGAATAACGTAGCTATAATAGTGAGTTATCTTGCTAGATATGTTAATTGAATATAGGTATATCATATTTGACTGTGATATATAAGTATATAGTGAGAGAGCTATATATATAAGTTTCAGTAATGTTATATTATAGCGGTATATATATTATAGATTAGAAAATATATGATGTGGTGTATGAATATTTAAATAATGAGTGAGCGTAATAGCAACTCGATCTCTCATAATACTATAGGGTTAAGGAAGTAGATAATAGTGTATTATATAGATAATATAATATGATAATGTATACATTATTAGTATTATATAGTAATATTTAGTGAGTATATTAGAAAATATATGATGTGTAATTGGTAGATTTTTTATAAGGTGAATATATGCAATATATAGACATGAGTAAGGTATCGTAGAATATATATAGGTGTAAATGAGATTTATAGGAATAATAAGGGTATATATAATATTAGGTGTGATATATATATATTATAATTAGTAGATTATAAGTATATTATAATATAGTAATAGTAGGTGATATAATATAGTAGGTATATGTATATATATATATATATATATATATATATGAAGTAATATGAAATAATTTATGTGTGTGGAGATAAATTTTATATGTAATATAGTGAAATATAGTTAAGTAGGTATATATCATAGGTATATAGAATAGGTAATATATATATATGATATAAATATAATAGATAGGTTGAAGTAATAGATTATATATATATAAGTATAGTATAATTAAGGTAATGTATGTATTATTATATAGTGAATAGTATAACGTATTGGAAGTATATTAGTGATATTATAATAGGTATAGTAATGATATGCTGTTATATGATTGCACGGTAAGATAATAAAATGTATTCAGTTATTCTGAGAAATTATTATATAGGTGTGTCAATGTCATTTAATACAAAAGTATTGGCGAGATCATAGCATTTTTAGTGAGTTGAGGCGAGCATTTGAAAAGAAAGAAAAGTTTAAATTTAGCTTCACACTAGAACGAAGTTGTATAGCGACAGTTTAGCAAGGTTTGTAAAAAATGTTTTACGCATGTTTAGAATCACACTGTGGCGGGAGGACGAGGTTAATCTACGCAAACATCGCCTCACACTTTAAGTCCACGTGTGTCTGTATATATTATTAGTATAATAATATAACATAATAGGTAGGAGAGTACTCAATAATATGTTATGATGTGAATGTGGTATATATATATATATAAAAGAAGGTGTATGTAAAGTAGGAGATAGGTATATATATAAGAAAGTTGAATTAATATAGCTGTATATATATAGTGACTATAAAAATATATATATAGTTATGTTATTATAGTTAACAGTACATATATGATGTTATTTAATATATGTAAAAGTATATAGTAGTATATAAGTATAGTTATAGGTATAGTATGTACAACACAACACAACACACACACACAATAACACAGCACACACAGCGATATTATATAGTATATAGATAGTATATATATAATAATATATATATTAGTAGAGTAATATAAATATATAAAATATACGTAATATGAGTAATATGTAGAATACACAGCAGCAAAGATAGACTGAATATTGCGCGTAACCTGAGGCGTGCGATTAGAAAGGATCGTGGTGTAAATCCAAGACACACCACACACAGCGCATGAAGTGGTAGACACACACACAACACAACACAGCAACACACACCACACAACACACACACACACTAACATCACAGTCATCACAATCTCACACATTGTTTAGACACACAAACACACATGGTGTCTGTTCACTACACACACACGCACCACAACAACACCATCTATCAGTCACAGGCACAGTCACTAACACAGCAACACGC